ATTTTGCAAAATGCCAATTTTGTTATATACAAATGGCAAATGTGCACTTTTGTTAGTGTATGTAAAAAGGGTAGAGTTATTTTTGGCCCTTTTTTAATCTCCGGATTGAATTAAGATATTCCCTTTTCCTTTTGTCAATCTTCTAGTTCTGATCTCATGAACAAAGAAAAGAAACTTGGAAAAGAAACAAAGTTGAACAATAGAACGTGATTTCTTTAGGTAGTTTTGGAGATTATTTGTAGCTCACATTTGACATTGACATTGAGTTATTTTAACCCAACTTAAGGCCGTGTGATGGTGTATTTGAACTGGAACGAGAATCGCTACAGAAAAGGAATGGCTGTTATTATAGATTACGAGGATATTGAACAAATTATTACTGGTTGCTAGGATATTGCATAAATTACCATCAAATTAATTAGTATCCATCAAATTAGTACATTTACGTATGCTTCTCATGGATTTATTACATAATGTATTCTTTTAATAAACCTGCTTGTCTACTCTTACACATTCAACTTATATGTAAATAGTACTTTTAGAGTTGTCGCGGTGATGATGATCATGAAATTGTAAATGAAATATCACTTGATAATAATATGTATCATTTGGTAGATGATTGAATATTGTGGATTGATTTACCTTACGTATAAATTCGCTTTACACTTAACAAACATTTCCTATGTCATATTGGACAAAAAGTTGAATTCATCAGGAACTATTTATATATTATTCGACCTGACCATTCCGATCCTTTTTAAGTAATTATTATCATTTAAGTAACTTTAACTCTAATACTGTATATACTATATGTTGTATCGGTTGGAATTGAAATAATTAACTCTCTAAGGTGTACAGCATTGCAAGTGGGTGAGTCAAATTTTCTCTCCATTTTATTCTATAAATATGTGAGTAGAATTTTTCTGTAAATATATCACAAAACATACTATGCGTAATAGAGTCAATCTTATGTGAAATTATAGATATAATTGCGTTCTCATTCTTGTTGAGTTCATTTTACTACTTATTAGATTTGATATTACTAAATAGATGTAATATTAATACCTCTATTAACATTTTAAATTTTTCTCTATTGATTTCTTTCTTGAAAATATTTTTGCCATTCTCAAGGTCTACTTTACTAATTATTTTCCTTTAAAAAAAAGACTCCATTCAATAAAATTTAATGTGTTTAATGTGAAAATGTTACTTTTAGTATAATACATAAGATTAGCTTAGATGTTAGATCTGAGTTAATACCGTAGTGAGAAAATTGAAACAGGAAATTGGCAGTGATTCTATGGCCACTAAATATTAATGTTTATATAGAAAAATTTCTGCAATAACGATACCCTAGAATAACAAATAAATCGGTAATGGAAATTGAAGTATTTTAGTCAATTCACACGGAACCAACATATAGTTATCCGCATGTGGCTTAGTAGGTTTGCATGCGGAAAACAAATAGAAAATGTACAGGGAAAATTATCTTATCGGATTTAAACCTATTATCTGGATGGCAATTTAGTCATAAGCTTTTCAATTTTATTAATTTAGTCCTAAATCTTTGCCCCAATAATGTAGTCTTTCTGGTCAATTTTCACTAAAAATTGTTGACTTGACTATCACGTCAACAATTTCCAACAAAATTGGTTGGAAAGACTATATTGGAAATTTACGCAAAGATTTAGGATTAAATTGGCAAAATTAGAAAGTTTAGGATTGACTTTTTATTGTTATGATAAATTCAAGACTAATGGGGTAACTTTTCCATAATGTATATGTCATTAGATATTTGATGGTAAATTATCACCTATTGTATGTAATTTTCGAGCGTTAATAATTTCTCAATGCTCTAGTATTCTCCACCTTGACATTGCTTAGGGCGCGAATGAAAACCATTCTATTCCCTTGACGAATTTCTAAGCAAATTATAGTGTTTGATAACGACACAAAATTTTTGTTCCAGAAATTTGAAATTCATTTGATAGGTTATTCTTGAATTTCCGTCTAGCGGTATTCCATCACATAATCCATTACTAACTGCATAAATGACTAGAGTTTGTTTACCAATTGGAAGTAGTAATTGTGGTTGTTTTGTTTAAGTACTTCTATCAGCCTTGCACTTCTATTGGGTAATGCCTGAGTGGCAGCATCAAGGTTTGGCCCAAATGGAGCAAAAGATGGCTACTTCGCGATGTTGTGCTAGTTCCAGTTTTGTAACCCCCTATAGGCATAAATGTGTTTGGTGCACATGAACTTGTCCAAAGAGGAACGCATATGAACAAAATGAAGGTCACAAACATCTTGCATACATTGTGTTATGAGTTTTTCTGCCAACTCATTAAAGAAATTATTACATGACTGAAACAATTTTTGGAGTCCTCTAGTTCAACGGCATTTTAGAAATGGCCCACAGTAAGTTTTCGTCTGGTGGACATTGCAATGACAAATATACATTAAAACTTGTTTTCCTTTTTTTGATTTAGTGTGAGCTTCCTTATCTCTTGAAACATGATTGTCTTGATTTTGTGGAATGACTTCAAATAATATAAGCTTGTGGATTAAGCTACCGTTTTTCTCTACATAAGAATCTACCCTGCTTATTTTCCCCATTTCTGGTAGTCTGGAGTATAAATTTGTTCACCGCCGATTGATTTGACGCCATCCGTGAAGGTTCCTTAAAATGTTCACTTAGCCGAAGAAATATCGAAGATGGTTCTCATTGCTACGTACCCAGAGGGGGAAGGCATAGAAGTCTAAAATTACTATGTTCGAGGAAGTATCCTGGATGTGCAATGGTTTTGCTTCTGATGAAAAAGTGGAAGACAAGATGGTTCAGAAGTCAAAAAGATAAAAAAGAAGACGCTGGGTAGACCTGGCCATTGATTTTTTTTTTTTTCCTTACCTTTTTTTAACTTTCAAAAAAGAGTCCCGCCACTTTCTTAGGATAGATTTGGGTGTGGGAGAATAGAAAATTCAAGGAAATAGATCACTTTGGCCATGAAAGAGATGGTGATTGCGGTGATGCATAGAAACGGAAATGGTGGTCGTGATAGCAATCGATAACTTCATGAGCTATTGAGGGTTGATTCGTTAGAATTTTCCTTGAAGGTTTTGTAGAATATTTACTTGGCTGAAGAACTATCGAAGATGGTTCTCATTGCTACGTACCCACGGGGGGGAAGCCACGGAAGTCTAAAGTTATCATGTTCCAGGAAGTACTGTGGATGTGCAATGGTTTTGTTTTAGATGAAAAGTAGAACACAAGATGGTTCAAAAGTCTAAAAGTCTAAATAAAATAAAGACAACTCAAAAGTGGGAGACCAGATGTGGACAAAAGTCAAAAAGTCAAAATAAAATAAGACGCCTCACAAGTGGAAGACCAGATGGGACAAAAGTCAAAAAGTCAAAATAAAATAAGAAGCCTCACAAGTGGAAGACCAGATGGGACAAAAGTCAAAAAGTCAAAATAAATAAGAAGCCTCACAAGTGGAAGACCAGATGGGACAAAAGTCAAAATAACTTAGAAGATGCAGGGGAGACGGCCGTTGATTTTTTTTATATTTGTACTTGTCCATCTTCCTTTCAGCGATATTCACTCCACTTTCTTATTAAGGTTAATACCATAAAAAATCCTAAACTAGCACACTTATGATAAATTTATATTTAAATAATTTTTTAACTATCAAAAACTCCAAACTGGTACACCTATGATAAATTTACCCTCCGTTAATTTTCGTTAAATTTTACTATTAAATTGCTGAGTTGGATGATACGTGACAGTTAATGAGTGTACCAGTTTAGGATTGTACCCCATAGTTTGTCACAGATTTATCAGTCTGTAGTTTTTCTTGGTATTAATCCAATTTAACGGAGGGTAAATTTGTCACAAGTGTACCAGTTTAGGGTTTTTGGTGGTCAAAAAATTATTTTGGGGTAAATTTATCACGGGTCTACCAATTTAGGGTTTTTTATAGTTAAAAAATTATTTTGAGGTAAATTTGTCACGGATGTATCAATTTTGGGTTTTTCGTGATATTAACCCTTCTTATTATGTTCGCGTGGTGAGTATTGAGTACGGAGGATTCAAATGAGCAGATCAATTTGATTTGTGAAAACTATTCCCTAACTCTGATAAATTTACATGTTATTTATATAATTGATGGACCATCCATATGCTTATGATAGTGTCATTTTCGGTACTCGTGAGAAGCTCAAAACAATCTGCCCCATAATATTCTCCCTTTAGTCCAGGCCCTTTGAAAAGTTTAAAAAAGTCCTCTTGGAAAGTTCAAAGAAATTGTCTCTCCACCATCCTCTCTTTGATTTAATTCTTTTAGAAAACTCTGAGAAATTTCCTCCCTGACACCCTCCCTGTAGTCGAGTACTCTTTGAAAGTTCAAAGAACTCCTCTTGGAAAGCCCAAAGAAATATCCTTCCCGCCATCCTGCCTTTATTCTAATCCCGTTGGAAGGCTCAAAGACATTTCTCGCACTTGAACTCATTGCACTTCCAACTAATCTTGTCCTGGGAACTATAGAGAGAGAGTGACATTGCATATTAATTATCTTTGGATGATGATAATTGACCAAGTCAATTAGTTGGATAAATCTCAGCCATTCGATATTGATTCGTTAGAATTTCCCTATCTGGATGACGCCATCCTTGAAGGTTCCTTGGAATATTTACTTGGCTGAAGAACCAACGAGGACGGTTCTTAAGGCTGTGTAAGTTCAAAGGAGAAGACCAGGTGGTTCCAAAGTCAAAATAAATATATATAAAAAAAAAAAAGAAGCTTCAGGGGAGACCTAACCGTCGATTTTCTTAGTGTCCTTTTTCCTTTCAACCCCCACTTTTGTTATTATAAATTCGCCCGTGAGAGAACAGAAAATTCAAAGGAACAATTCAATTTGGCTTTTCGGAAATTATTCTTTAAATCTGGTAAACTCGTATTTTATCTGAACCAGGACCATCTATATATATAATAGTCTCCTTTCCAGTACTCATTGCTCCTTTAATAAGTTCAATTTTAACTACTCTGTGTTCTGTAAACGATAAAGAGAGAGTGAGAATGCATCCTAAAGTGTATGAGGCTGCAAAGATAGGAGATTATGATTACCTGATGACAATAATTTTGGGAAATGGAGAGGACCTTTTCCACCAAACAACGCCAAAAGGGAACAACATTCTTCATGTTGCGGCTCAATACAAGCAGGTAAATTTGATTCAGCATCTTCTTGGACATCCATCAGGATCGTCTCTTCTTTGGCAGGGTAACTACAAAGGAGATACTCCCCTACATGTTGCTGCTAAAGTGGGAAGTTGCGAAGCAGTTCGAGTCTTCGTTGATTTGGCAAAATCACTTCATTGGGTTGTTGAGAACGGACAAGTTGACGCATGCAAAGAGCTACTTCGAAAGCAGAATTTCCGTAAGGATACCACGTTGCACTCTGCAGTAAGAGGAGGCCATGATTTGGTGGTGGAGTTGCTGCTTGACGAAGATCCCCAACTGTGTGATAATACTAATGCTGCTGATGAGTCCCCGCTTTATCTTGCAGCGGATCGAGGACTTTCTCGTATCACCGAGCTGATTTTAAGTGCTTTCTCATCGTCATCCTCTTATAAGGGCCCTAAGGGCTTGACAGCTCTACATGCCGGAATCTCTCTCTCATTGACCAGTAAGTATCACACGATAATGCCCAGTGAAAAAAAATTTATTGAAAGTTCTCTCTCGTGCAATGCTTCTCTTAGATGAGAGTGCTGGTGTTAGCAGTGAGGACCGCCATCTATCCTAATTTTCAATAAGTATAACAGTAAATACAGTACTTATTTATTTATTATTACGTTTATTTTTGTGAAAGGTCATTTTTTTTTCCAAGGAAACGCCCCTTGATCAGTTGAGGGTTATGTTTTGAAAAGATTCTCGTTGCTATTCTCGTTGCATTCTCTTTATTGGTTTCCTCATTGACTATTAAATAAGTTCGAATCGATTCGTCCTCGGACGGGGACTAAAAATAATGTAATCATTTTAGATTAAGCATCTATTAGGGAAAATCACTATTTTGATAATAGTGTTGATAATAGTATTTTTCACTCACTAATTTCGTTCTACACGCTTTTCTAGATCTTGTTCTCTTACTTTTTCGTGAATTTTAGGACTTTTTTTTTTACGATTTCCACCGGCAGATCATCATCAACCATCACCATCACCATCACACCCCTACCTGTTCCCTTTTCTTTCTCATCCAGTTCTTCTTCTTCTTCCCTTTTTTTTTTTTGTATTCTTCTTTGTTTCAACACTTTTCTCCTTATGATTAATTGCTTTTCAGTTTGCAATTGATGACAGGGCACATTGCAATATATTTCCAAAAGATCAGGGTATGCACGCAAATTTTCTTAACCCTCGAGGGAAAATTATGACGAGTTGAAAGAAAAGGGGTGCAATGATTTTACTTTTGAAACTGTAGAAAGTGCTAAATCCCCATTAAATATTGAAATTCTCTATAATTTTGAGTTGGACACAATATTTCCGTCAAATGATTGGCATCAGAGTTAAAAACCTTGGCGACGGAGCAGATACCTTGCTGAAAATATGAGAAGCTTCTTCTCAAACAACTTCAAGAATTTCTAACAATTTCACTTATCAATTGATAAACTTTACAAATTTCTGCATTACACTAGATTGAAGGTTGTTGAAATAGTGATCCAATTTCTAGAAGTTTCTAGTATGCTCAAGATTTTTGGAGAATAGATATTTAAATGAATAATCTAGAAAGTTGTGAGAAATATCTAAGATATTTCTAGAAAAGTTTCTAGAAAAAATCTTTGATATTTCTAGAAGGATAATGAGACATGTGTAGAAAATTCTAGAAAAATATCTATGTAACATACTATAGATTTTTCCTTAGTGGCGGTGGAAGAGGGCTATAAATAGCCAACCCCTCTCCACTTGAAGTACACACCTATCAGAAGAAAAAAACTAAGTCCCTTGTACAAAGCCTTCATAATACAATACTTTTTGTCTTCTTTGTTTCCTACTTGTCTTCCACTATCAAAAGTTTTGTTCTACTGTTGCTTCAAGTCCACGTACCAACACTTGTACTCACTAAATCACTCACTCACTTACAAAACAAATCACGCTTCCGCAAATACTAACAGTGGTATCAGAGCCACGTTTTTGGTTGATATTGGGCGTTTGTCCGAACCACCCGTTCCTAAAACTACCCATTCAACTATCCAACAACTAAACTATGGCCAACTCTACATCATCCTCATTTCCCATTCCTATTTTCGATGGGAATAATTACGACTATTGGAGCATTAAAATGACGACTTTCTTGATGGCCCAAGATTTATGGGACATCGTAGAAAAGGGTTATGAGGCTCCACAAGAAGGTGCAAGTGTTCCAAAAGATCAACTACAAAAGGATGCAAGGGCACTATGTGTTATTCAGCAAGCACTCTCGGAAACAGTATTTCCGAGGATAATTGGAGCGAAGACAGCAAAGAAGGCATGGGAAACACTACGAGATGAATTCCAAGGATCAGAAAAGGTACGCACTATTCGGCTTCAAACTCTAAGAAGAGAATTTGAGAATTCTAAAATGAAAGTAAATGAGACCGTTCAAGAATACTGTGGGAAATTAAAAGAACTAGTTAATCAAATGAGAGCCTATGGAGATGAAATCGCTGATCAAAGGGTCGTAGAAAAAATACTAGTGTCACTTACTAGAAAGTATAATCCTATTGTGACAACTATAGAAGCAACTAAAGATTTAACGACCACATCGACAAGTGAATTAATTGGCTCTCTAGAAGCACATGAGAAAAGATTGATGGCACAAGATGAAGATTCAGTTGAAAGTGCCTTTCAGTCCAAAATAAACATACGGTCTCATCAATCTAAAAATGGTGGAAGGAGCTTATGGAAAAGTAAAAAAGGAGGAGAAACTATCCAAAAGGAAAAATACCCACATTGTGGAATTTGCAAGAACACTAATCATCTAGAGAAAGATTGCTGGTTTAAAAATAAATCACAATGCCGCTTTTGTAAAAGATATGACCATGTAGAAAAGAATTGTCGATCGAAAACAAATAATCGAGCCAACTATGTTGAAGAAAAAGAAACTGAAGACAACACATTCTACGCAGGCCAAGTGGCAAATGATAAGAAAAATGATACGTGGTACATTGATAGTGGGTGTAGCAATCATATGACGGGGGATGAATCTATATTTACCGATATTGATACGTCGGTGAAATCCCAAGTGAAATTGGGCAATGGCACATTGGTCGAAGTAAAAGGAAAAGGCACTATAGCCATTGAAACAAATAAAGGCTCAAAATATATTCACAATGTATATCTTGTCCCTAGTCTTGCTCAAAATTTATTGAGCGTGGGCCAAATGATTCAAAGTGGGTATTCTCTATACTTTAGAGAAGATGCCTGCATTATCTATGATAAATATAAAAATATCATTGCCTCTGTTAAGATGGAGAATAGGAATTTTCCTATTCAATGGAAATATATCAGAGATGTAGCCATGAAAGCTCAACTTGATGATTCATGGCTTTGGCATCGAAGATTTGGCCACTTCAACTTTGCTGGGCTAAAAGTTCTCCATCAAAAAAAAATGATGAGAGATTTTCCAGCTATTTCAGAAATTTCAGATGTTTGTGAAGGCTGTCTGCTTGGAAAACAACAAAGACAATCCTTCCCATCTGGAGGTGCGTGGAGAGCTAAGAAGCCATTGGAGCTAGTGCATACGGATGTGTGTGGTCCAATGAGGACCCTCACACCCAGTCAAAATAAATATTTCATTCTATTCATCGATGACTACACAAGAATGACGTGGGTCTACTTTCTTCGAGAAAGATCGGAGGTCTTCTCTATTTTCAGAAAATTCAAGAACCACGTCGAAAATCAAAGTGGCCGCAGAATCAAAGTTCTAAGGAGCGACAGAGGCACGGAATACAACTCAAGGGAGTTCAATAAATTCTGTGAAGATGAAGGAGTTCATCATCAACTAACTGTTGGCTACGCCCCGGAGCAAAATGGAGTAGCAAAAAGGAAGAATAGAACCGTCATGGAGATGGCAAGGTCTATGCTAAAGGGGAAAGGCCTTCCCAACACGTTTTGGGCAGAAGCAGTCTATACGGCGGTATACATCTTAAACAGATGTCCAACTAAAGCAGTCCAAAATAAAACTCCGGTTGAAGCATGGAGTGGACGGAAGCCTTCAGCGAAGCATCTCAAGGTGTTTGGCTGCATATGTTACATCCACATTCCTGCTCAAAAGAGGAGCAAGCTAGATGAGAAGACAGAAAAAGGAATCTTCCTCGGCTACAGCGACCAATCAAAAGGCTATCGGGTCTACAACCTAAGAACTAAGAAGCTCATGATCAGTCGAGACATCGAATTTGACGAGAATGGCGCCTGGAATTGGGAGGACGAAAAGATTGAGAAGAAGTATGTCAACTTGCCAGACAAACAACTTGCTCGAGAGGATTCAACATCACAAGATGAAGGTGAAGTGCCAGATTCAACCACTCAAGACGTAACACCACCATCCTCTCCTGGCGCAACACAAGAAGAATCTACTTCAGAATCTCCTATTTTAAGGGTAAAATCTCTTAGAAAAGTTTATAAAACATGCAACTTTGCAGCTTTAGAACTAGAGAACTATGAAGAGGCTACCAAAGAAGAAGTTTGGATTAAGGCCATGGAGGAAGAAATCAAGATGATAGAGAAGAATGAAACGTGGGAGCTCGTCGATCGCCCCGACGACAAAGAAATCATTAGTGTCAAGTGGGTTTACAAGACAAAGCTCAATGTAGATGGATCAATTCAAAAGCATAAGGCAAGGCTCGTGGCGAAAGGATACTTGCAACAACCAGGTATTGACTATACTGAAACTTTCGCTCCTGTTGCACGCTTTGATACTATTCGGGCACTCATAGCCTTAGCAGCACAAAAGGAATGGAAGATCTATCAACTAGATGTAAAGTCTGCATTCCTTAATGGATATCTTCAAGAAGAAATATATGTGGAACAACCACAAGGCTTTACCATCAAAGGCCAAGAAGAAAAAGTCCTCAAGCTCAAGAAGGCCCTCTATGGGTTAAAACAAGCACCACGAGCATGGTATAGCAGAATAGATGAATACTTTACCAAGCAAGGATTCAGGAGGAGCATGAGTGAGCCAACGCTCTACATCAAGACCCAAGGTAAGTCCGACACTCTCATTGTCTCTTTGTATGTGGATGATCTAATATATACAGGGAACAATGAAAAGATGATTCAAGAATTCAAAGAAGAAATGATGAAGACATTCGAGATGACGGACTTGGGCTTGATGCGCTACTTCCTCGGTATCGAGATCAACCAAAATGAAGGAGTTTTTATCTCACAGAAGAAATATGCCGAGAACCTCCTTAAGAAATTCAAGATGAATAATTGCAAAACAGTTGCAACACCGCTCGTGACAAACGAGAAACTATTAAAGGAAGATGGAGCAGAAAAAGCCGACGCCACCCTCTACAGAAGTCTGATTGGTAGTCTATTATATCTCACTGCTACACGACCGGACATCATATACGCAACAAGTCTACTATCACGATTCATGCAGAGTCCGAGTCAAATTCACTTTGGAGCTGCCAAGAGAATTTTAAGATACATACGAGGAACGACAGATTATGGCATTTGGTATCGGCCAAGTTCAACTGCTAAGCTCGTTGGCTACACAGACAGTGACTGGGCAGGATCAACTGACGATAGGAGGAGCACCACTGGCTATGCATTCACACTGGGCTCTGGAATATTCTCTTGGGCATCTAAAAAACAAGACTCAGTGGCACAATCTACTGCAGAAGCTGAATATATCGCGGCTGCTACGACTACTAGTCAAGCAATATGGCTTCGAAGAATTCTAGAAGACATTGGAGAAGCACAAACGGAATCAACTCCAATATTTTGCGACAACAAGTCTGCGATCGCCATACCAAAAAATCCTGTCTTCCATGGAAGAACCAAACACATAGACATCAAATATCACTTCATCCGTGAAGTGCAATATAATGGAGAGATCGAGCTCAAATATTGCAAGACCGAAGATCAAGTCGCGGACATATTCACTAAAGCACTACCGCTGGTCAAGTTCGAGATGTTAAGAAGCATGCTTGGAGTTTCTCGAAATTGGATCAAGGAGGAGTGTTGAAATAGTGATCCAATTTCTAGAAGTTTCTAGTATGCTCAAGATTTTTGGAGAATAGATATTTAAATGAATAATCTAGAAAGTTGTGAGAAATATCTAAGATATTTCTAGAAAAGTTTCTAGAAAAAATCTTTGATATTTCTAGAAGGATAATGAGACATGTGTAGAAAATTCTAGAAAAATATCTATGTAACATGCTATGGATTTTTCCTTAGTGGCGGTGGAAGAGGGCTATAAATAGCCAACCCCTCTCCACTTGAAGTACACACCTATCAGAAGAAAAAAACTAAGTCCCTTGTACAAAGCCTTCATAATACAATACTTTTTGTCTTCTTTGTTTCCTACTTGTCTTCCACTATCAAAAGTTTTGTTCTACTGTTGCTTCAAGTCCACGTACCAACACTTGTACTCACTAAATCACTCACTCACTTACAAAACAAATCACGCTTCCGCAAATACTAACAAAGGTTCTACACGTATTACACAAGATCACCAGAAAAACTTCAGAATTACCACGACATAGTCCTTCCCAGTACAGACAAAATCGGGAAAACTTAATGGGATGAAGTGCAACTTTAATATCTATGTTAAGATGCTACAAACGGACTAAATCGTGACATTTTCCTATTTTATTCGCAAAGGTTGGGAGAAAATCATGGAGAACAGACCAGAAGCGATCAGAGAAGGAGATGAAATGGGGTGGAATCCTCTTCATTACGTCGCTTACTTGGGCAAAGTCGAAGCTGTTAGACTACTCTTGCAACACGATACTTCTGTGGCATATGACTTAGACAAAGCAGGAGAATCGGCTCTCCACCTTGCTGCGTTTCAAGGCTGCGCCAATGTCATTGACGAGCTTGTTAAATCTTGTCCAGATGCTTGTGACATAACAAACACCAAAGGGCAAACGGCTCTTCATGCAGCTGTTATTGGTGGCCGAGTGAATGTGGTCAAGTACATTCTAGAGATGCCAAACCAGGGGGATATTATCAATGAACAAGACAACGATGGAAACACGGCTCTGCATTTGGCTACACTTCATAAACACTACAACATTATCAACATGCTTGCACGAGACAAGAGGGTGGACCGTTTGGCCAAAAATAAGGATCATTTGACTGCCCTTGACATTTTTTGGACTCATAAGGAGGTATGCCTGCTTGAACACTATAGAGCCCGATTTGTTCACTCGCAAAGTAATTTCTTTAGTATCGTTTAGAAACTGTGGCCAAGTGAAATACTCATTTCAGGTGCAAACAAACAACCCAATTGAAGTCTTTTTGCGTCAACTTTGTTTTGCTTATTTGACTGCTTAAGCATATTGACTATATTTTCAATTTTCGTAGCAAATAGTAGCACATATTTTTTTTTATTGAGTGTGACACATATTTGAAAAAGGGGTTCAAAGTAAAGTAATTTCACACTTCATATCTTACAATAAATAATAAGAAAACGGTATAGATTGAATTTTGTGGTTGAGCCACATTATCACAAAGTTTCATTGCCTCCCACTTCACTTAATATTAATTAGCAAAACTAACTTTAATTAATTGTACAAAAAATAAAAAGGCTATCTCTATCATTGATGTTCCTACAACGAATATCAACATCAATTCACATAGATTACTAATTTAGATGTGGTTTGATATAATAGTCAATAAACCTAAACTCGTTATAGATGTCTTTATGGTTCTTTCAATATGTGAGTTGGTATATAATGTTTTTGTTTGTTATTAACTAATTATGTATGGTCATATCTTCTTCTTCTTCTTCTTTTATAAAAAAATACCAATTATCTACAAATTGGATGTGTGGACAAAAACGATCTAGTGACAAAATAAACTGTCAAATATTTTTCGACTGTAAAAAATTGATTAAGCCATATTTATGAGTATTACAAAAATAACAAAAATTCGTAGCTAAATAGTTGTATTCAAATTTTGACTTTTAATCTAATAACATAGTCAGGAATTTGCATTGTCCTATAGAAATTTAATTTGACAAAATAATTATCTTGCCAGTAGCTAAAAAGTTGTATTTAAAATAGAAGTCTTTATAGATCCAATAAATGCTTATATTTTTAAACCATCTAACTCATTCCCACATCTTGAAGCCCCACTTACAATCCGATTACATGAAAAAACCAAATATTGTTGTAACAGACAACAGAAAAATGCATATAAAAAAAGCAATTTTAAGTTTGAATATTTTGCTTTGTTAAAATTATTCAGTGACAAAATATTCAAATAAAAAGATATAGTTTAAGACAAATCGCCTAGTAAAGTAATTTGAATATTAGTTAATTTTGTTGTTTGGTTGATAAATACATATACGTTTGTCAATATTATGTTGTACGATCATATTGTATCATCACAAAAAAATTTCAATAAAGTATAAGGTTCAAATTCGGGCAAAACGCGGGCCTTCGACTAGTTCAAAAGTAATTGTCTAAATCTTGGTTATCTTGAAAACATTGCAAAACATTTAGGGTTGGGATTCTCTAAAATTAGGGGATAGCATAAAAGGAAAAAAGAAAGAAAAGAAAAGAAAAATGGAGAATAAATCAGGACTGGGATAGCATACCTGTAACTGTAATTGTTTACTCCAGGGAACTCTGTTTACGGGTGTTATCTACCATTTACCTTTATCTAAAAGAGATGATTTGAATGAATTCTCCATGACCTCTTAGCACTCGCCAGAAGTTCTGTTTGTTATAGATGGATTTTGAGTGTGTAAAGTGAGGGTCTTGAAGTATTTCCTCGGAAAATTTTCACTTGTTAATTGATACATTCTGTACATTTTTAGATCGGCCACGGTGCTAGGACTGTTCATTACCTGTTGAAAGGATCTCATGGAATCCCGGGTTTTCAAGGCTGGTTTATTGAACATGGCAAGAAGAGGTTAGACAAGCAATATGTTCAGGGTCAACCATCTGAGTCTATAACCACAGGAAGTAATATTGCCAACCAAGATAATTTCAATTTGTCAAAAAAAAGCATTATGGACGTTCAGCTACTAGTGGCAGCACTCATAGCCGCAGTAACCTTTGCCATGGCCTTCACAGTGCCTGGAGGTTATAACAATGACGGACCTGACCGAGGAATGGCGATTCTTGCTGGAAGGACAGATTTCGAAGGCTTTGTGATTTTTAACTCTCTGGCGTTCTTTTGCTCCATCATGGCAATAATCATACATTTGGAAAGTTTTACGTTCAGCTATCGCCAAGAGCCGAAACACATCCCGATCGTGGGACTTTGCATTGAAATTGCGTTAATCGAGATGCTGCTAGCCTATTGGATGGGGATGACTCTTGTATTGGACAGACACACTGAGAGAACCTGGGATGGGATCATTCCTTATCTTGCGTCCGGATGTCCCTTGCCTTTTATCTTCTTCAACAATTTCCCTGACCACGAGGCTCATACGTGGTTGCGAGGTAGCTCCCCCACGAGAAGATACATCCGAATATTTTTTGTTATGTGTGAGACACGATTGTTTGATTGTGCGAGGCTCATTTCTGGTCACTGGGAAAGCTATTAGATGGGCCCGTTCTACAGTCCCGTGACCTTGTGCACAGGGAATTTTGTTTTTGCTTTGTCAGCCGTCGAGTTCGATCACTTTTATGCCAGCTGTCCAATTTAAAACCTGTCAAAATCGATTGAGCCCGGGCAAGATTGCCGTGCTATGGATGAAGGTGGATACACCGCTGAAGGTTTGCCAAAGAATGTGATGTTTACTAGCATGTAGTTGAAGTGTTCGTTGAACTGAGACTTGCCTTCAACTTCTACGCATCTCTCTTTCGTAGCATAGTTGCGCGAAACCACAGGAGGTGCCATAACATTTTCAACATCTATTAAGAGCAAGAGTCATGGGTGATGCAAGATCCTTCCTGTCTAATTATTTGAAAAGCTTCATAAGCCTTCATAGAAATGGGAAATGTCATCTTGCTGTGTAATCTCAGAATTTGCAAGTCAATCCAGTGAGTAACATCCTCAAATAATTAGGTACACGAGTCCAAAGATGTATCTCCATATCAACCTAGAGAAATTCAATCACCCACTCATGCCAAAAACAATTATTTCGCTTCATCTTTCATGTTCGTATGTGGTATGTATGCATCACTCGCTAATGCACAAAGAGGAGCAGTGGCCAATCCTCAAACAGCGTAACCATTCATCGGTACAAACCGTCAAAACCATGAGGTCCAACTACGTGAAGCTGTTCTTGTTGCCACGTTCTTCGCTGAAGCCGCATTATCCACCAACTAAGGTACTATAAACTTTTCCATGTCAGCGAGAGAGATTTGGAGATGGTTCCCAAAGTGTCATGACACTCCCAAAACGTCACAGGAAAGACGGGTTTGGAGATAATGCCAAGAGTGAACCGATGGTTCCAAATGGCTCGAGTTCTCCCAAACATTTACCTCGTGCGACATTATAATTTAACCTATGAGAAGGAGCCGCCATTCCCCTATTAAGGCCGGGTAAGAACCAAGTGAGATGCTGGAAAATATCTCACTTGCTACGCAATCAAAGGTTGTAAGATCGGGGGCTTAATTACACTAATGGTCTAATTAGTGCTCTTTCGGTACCTTAACTTGATTAGTTTGTTACCTAAGAGATTCGTGCGATCTTTTAACCATTTTAGCACTCTATGCCACTAAACGATATCCATCCATGAGTGCACAATGAAGGATAAGTAAACAATCACAATCGATACGATAAAAGTAAAATATAAGGAAGTAAACCCAATAAAGTATCAAGCAAAGAATGCACATTGCATTGTTATTAAGCCCCAAGACAACAACCCCATAAGCTAAATTCAAATTGAATCAAATCCCTTGTCCAAAATATCAATTTACTAAAACTAAACTATATCAAAGGTACTTACTAAATCCTCTAAACTATAACTATGATAACTAAATGAAATTAAGGTAAATCTAGTACTAAAAATGAACAGCCTAATCAAGGCCCCTATTTCTAACCATTTTTTAAAATTTTCTATTATTTATTATTTTATTATTTTTATTATTAATTTGGATAGAAGGGGGACAGGGGCTGGGTCCTTGGGCCCTGTTCGTATATGGGCCAAACTTGTACTTTAGGGGTCTGGGCCATAAAAGTCATTTGGGCTACATATCTATCTAGATTCTTCACTTAAAATCCAAATTGGGCTCAACTCATCGAATTAAGCCCGAATTACGCGAACGCTTCAATAGATCGACGCTCCGGCCATTAACTCGAATCCATTTACTCGCCATGGACCGCCATCCATCGCCACCGAGGCAAACATACACGGGAATAGAACAAAAATCGGGGTGTCGGTCTCGGATAATGAGTAAAATTCTACAAAATCATGCTTAATGACGAACGAATCAATCGATAAATATGCAAACTACGCCAGTATGTCTTTGGATTTAACAAAAACAGGCGTTGCTCTCACATATACACTTCAGAGTCATTTTATCAAACACGTCATGTGCAATCGGCGGAGGAGTGAAACAAAGAGCGATGACTTAGGATTAGAGATCAGGTTTTAAAAAAAAAGAATCAGTCCAAGTACGCAATCGTAAATGTGAATACGAATTTGAGCCAATTCTATCCTAATCTGGAACACGCCATTTCGGTTACTTTTATTCATCAAAACAGAGTATAGCAGGGAAGAGAGATTACCCTGTCGATGAGGAATTCTCGGTCGCCATTACTGGTCGAGTTTGCACGAGGAGGATCTGGAAAACGTCGCTGGTGAGAATAAGCGTCAGCAATGAAGTTTCAGACAAACACAAATTGCTCCACGTCTTCACGGCCAAAAACAGGGATGAACGGAGCTTCCTGCCGTGGCTGAACCGACAGTAACGAGAAGAGGCAGGAAAGGATACGGAAGAAATCACACAGAGAGAGAGAGAGTGACTTCTGGACGCTCAGAAACCTGCGGAGAGAGTGTGCGCGCGCTTTCTATCGGGTGTGTATGCGTGCCTCAAGAATGGTTTCTCTCGGTTCAGTATCTTCCCGAGACTGATGATCAATGGCGGCTGGAGGAGCCGAGCACCGTCCGGCGGCCGGGGAAGGTTATATAACAACCATCATCCAATTGAATTTCGATGTAAAGCTCGGTCCGCCGGAAATGCATCGGTTACAGATATTCCTCTCCTTTTCCCATTGGATTAATGGCAAGAAGGACGCAAATTGCATGTTATGACAATATTACACCGCAACGACAACACCATATCGCAATATGTTCTTTAACCGATTAAATTTCGTCCATTTTTCTCATGTAAATGCAATTTTCCTTAAATCATCCACTTTTCAAAGTCGAATGCTCCATGATCAAATGAAAATAATAAATCGCTACAAAATATAATCGCGGACCATGTCATGGATTACACCTCCTACGACCATAAGACTCTAGAGTAGGAAGCTCGGGAAAGATAATGATTTCGTAATCGTCAGTATTACATTCAACATGGTTAATCATTCATATATAAGACTTAGAAAATGTTTCGACTAGTTTTATGTTCTATGGCTTGGTTGACCATACAAGATGCAATAAAAATAGGGTCAATACCGTTGAAAATTCTAAACTGATATCCATAACATATTTACCTCAAACTGTATTTTCATCTCATAAAATATCTCGAACTGGTTCCTCATGACACATTTAACCCAAATTGGTACCCGAACCCAAATCTAGCATCCATTAGCAGTTTAGGATTTGATGTTGACGGTATTCAATTAGGTTACCAATTTTAGGATTTTTTGTGAGACGAAAATTAATTTGGACAAATATGTCATGGGGATACAAATTTCGAATTTTTAATGGCATAAACCTAATAAAAATAGAACAATTAATTCCAAGTCAATATCAATGTTACTAGAAATTAAAAATATTCTAGTCCCCTTGTTTTTCATATATATCTATGTGTGTGCAAGTTCTCAAGTGAATTCTTAATTTTGGAATTGGTTTGAGCACATGAAATAATTCTCGACAGAATGGAGCCTTACAAAATGCATGCTTTCTAAATCACAAGGAGCTTGATCTAGTTTAAATACTTTACCACCGCTTATCAGTTTTTGTTTCAAAGAGCACTAGCGGGGAAAAAGATAATACAAATATCATAACTTTTGTACAGCGCTCACTTTAGTACTAAAATTTTTGTACAATGCTCACTTTTTTAAAAAAAAAAGAGCCCAACGTGAAAAATTTTTCATCCAACATGGCGATGTGAACAAAAAGACAAGGCCTCTCACTCTCCCCCGAAGAAACTCTTCTCTGTTATCTTTGCGTCATTCAATCAAGAACTGATTCAAAATGAATATACTTCAGTAACCAAATAATGGAAGCGGAAGATCACGAATTTAGGACAGAAAACTGGAAGAAGAGTTTGGTTTTACGTAAAAAGAGAGGTGTGGATCCGAAGAAGCGAAAGAAATTGGGACGTGGTTTTGGTCTTGTTTTGGATAAACTCAGTTTCGTGTTTGCATGAGTGATGAGCGAAAGGGTAAAAGATAAATAATAGCGCTAAAAAAAATCTCAATGTTTTTGCGTTTGTGCACGATTGCGGGAGGAGAAAACAGAGCAAACGCAATGGAGAAATAGAACTCTGTTTTCTCAATAGAGAACAGAGCCCTCTTTCTCACCTCTCGTTTGTCTTCATGATGCTCCGATTCTCCTTCGCTGCAGTTGGGGACGACGAAACGTGAAGAATGGATGAAGAAGGGACCGGTTCTTCCAGCTTGGAGGAGGAAGAGGAGGCCTTGCAGTGAAGATGAGGCCATGAGTGGAGGATTGAAGACAAGGCCTTGTGGTGAAATTGTATCGTGAACAAGTTTTGAATATTTCTCAACTTTGATCTTCTTAACGCACGATTTGATAAGGATATTTTGATGAGATAATTTTGCCCGAATTTGAGGAATTAGAGTTAGGGTTCTCCCGAAACACATTGAATTTTGCCCCAGTTCCTTAATTTGGGGCAAACAATCTCTAAACACGTCTTTTAGAGGTTTAATTGCTAACTTCATCTTGCTGACAAGCCACATCAGAGTTTATATATTAAATTACTGCTATATCAGTTTTTCCAACAACCTAAATCGTTGATGTCACTGAAGAAGTGGCACTCATGTGATTACTCGAAAAGTTTTGGTACTAAAGGAAGCGGCGTACAAAAGTTATGATACTTCCAATGTCATTTTCCCGCATTGGTGGCTAGAGACAATGATAACTACATTTCAAGGTACTATTGCTAAGGTGTTAAAAATGTTAAACTCATTTGTCATCAAGATTTAAAAGATTTTCGGCATGGATATGTGCTAGTGATATGAAGTTCTTCGCTTGTTTCAAGAACAGGGAAACAAGTCTGGTCTGCTAGAACAGTTAACGAAAAGCACTCTAGAGAAGTAATTTAGATTCCTAATGAATTGAGTGATAAAAATCAAATAATTTAGGAGAATGAATTGCTGCTTGGTATCTGAAAAACACAATAGTTTAAAAAATTTCAGATAGGTAGATGGTGTAGTCGGCTAAGTTCGTATATCAGAAATTAA